TGATGAAGATGAGATGAGCCTCTTCGTGAAGAAGTATGGAAAATTTTTAAGAAAATTTTTTCAAGGAGACCCGCATTTCCTCCTAGAAGAAGATCTAAAGACGAAGGATCCTCACAACTCACCATCACTTGCTATGAATGCGGAAAAACCGGTCACTACAAATCGGATTGTCCAAACATTCAAAAGAAAGACAAATATGAAAAGAAGCAAGGCAAGGATAGAAAGAATTTCAAGAAGGCTTATCTTTCTTGGGATGACGAATCTAGTTCCTCCGATGATGGCTCCAAGGAATAAGAAAACCTATATTTCATGCAAAATGGGAGACCACCGGAGAAATCAAGTAAAGGAACTCAACATATATGTCTAATGGAAAATGAAGACAAAAATGAATCCGATACCGAGGTAAACTCATCTTGCTCTACTATTTTGCCTTCATATGATGAGTTGTCTGAAATGTTTCAAGAAATGCATAATGAAACACTAGAATATGTTAAAACTCTTAGAGCATCAAGAAAAACTATTACTTATTTGGAAAAGAAAATTACATCTTTAGAAAAGGAAGTGAAAGATCTAAAAGATGAAAATGAAACTCTCAAATTACTTGATGCTAGCACAAGTTGTATCAAATGTCTATCTTCAAGTGATCATGCATCTTCATCATCATGTACATCATGTAAAGATCTAAACAAAGAAATTGATGATTTAAATGAAACTCTAAGCAAATTCACATGTGGTAGAGATAACTTAAATGTGTTGCTTGGTAAACAAAGATGCATGTTTAACAAATCCGGCTTAGGCTTTGACACAATCACACAAGAAAAATTATATAAAAACTTTTTCATCTCTCCATCCTACATGACAAGTAGTCCATTCATTAAATGTTTTCATTGTGGTGGAAAAGGTCATAGTGCTTCCACATGTAAAGTTAGAAAGAATGGTATTATTGGGCAAAAGAAAGTGTGGGTTCCTAAGGGAACTAAGCCCAAGACTAACACACAAGGACCCAACAAGGTGTGGGTACCAAAGATTAAATCTTGACTTTGTGATGTAGGTTTGTTTGAAGGCTAAAAGCTCTAAGTGGTACTTGGATAGTGGTTGCTCAAGTCATATAACGAGAGATGTAACTAAATTCCAATCTTTCACAAAGAAAGAGCATGGACATGTTTCCTATGGAGATAACAACAAAGGAAAGATACTCGGTATTGGAAAGGTTGGTAATTCCTCCTCCGTCTCTATAGAAAATGTTTTACTTGTTGAGGGTCTTAGACATAACTTGCTTAGCATTAGTCAATTATGTGATAAAAATTATAGAGTTATTTTTGACTCAACCTCTTGTAAAATCGAAAGTCTAATTGATGGGCAAGTTAAGTTTCTTGGTCATAGAGTGGATAATATTTATATGATAGACTTAGATGGTATGCCTTCAAATGACGATAAATGTTTGATTAGTAAGGAAGATGACTCTTGGTTATGGCATAGAAGAATAACATACATTGGCATGAGTCAATTAAGAAAATTGATTTCCTTAGACCTAGTAATTGGATTACCAAAGCTCAAATTTGAAAAAGATAAAGTTTGTGATGCTTGTCAAATGGAAAAACAAGTAAAGGCTTCTTTTAAATCAAAAAATATTGTTTCTACCACAAAGCCTTTACAACTTTTGCATATGGATCTTTTTGGACCAACTAGAACCATGAGCTTTGGTGGCAATTACTATGCATTGGTCATTCTAGACGATTATTCTCGCTATACTTGGATCTTATTTCTTACATATAAAAGCGATTCTTTTAAATCATTCAAGAGACTAGCCAAGTTTATTCAAAATGAACAATCTTGAAATATTATTTCAATTAGAACCGATCATGGTGGAGAATTTGAAAATCAAGATTTTGAAACCTTTTGTGAAAAAAATGGCATTGAACATAATTTTTCCGTTCCTAGGACTCCACAACAAAATGGAGTTGTAGAAAAGAAAAATCGTGTATTGGAAGAACTTGCTAGAACCATGTTAAATGAAAATGATCTTCCAAAATATTTTTGGGCGGAAGCCGTTGGCACCGCGTGTTATGTTATGAACCGTGCTTTAATTAGACCTATTTTGAAGAAAACTCCCTATGAACTTTACAAAGGAAGAAAACCCAATATTTCATATTTTCATGTCTTTGGTTACAAATGTTTTGTTTTAAACAATGGAAAAGAAAACCTTGGCAAATTTGACTCCAAAGCCGATGAAGGCATATTTCTAGGCTATTCACTCACAAGTAGAGTTTATAGAGTCTATAACAAAAGAACAATGGTCATTGAAGAGTCTATTCATGTTGTATTTAATGAGACTAACAATGTCTTGCCTAGAAAGGAACCTTGTGATGATGATCTTATAGAAAGCATGGAAAACATAAACTTGGATGACAAAGAAAAGGATGAAAGATAAAAAGAAGATGAAGCAAATAATGAAGAAACACCAAGTCAACAAAGCAATGACGAAAACAATCTACCACAAGATTGGAGAGTAGCTAGAGAACATACCATTGATGTGGTAATTGGTGATATATCCAAAGGGGTAACTATTAGAAACTCAATTAGAAATATTTGTAATCACTTAGCATTTGTTTCTCAAATTGAGCCTAAGACCATGAATGAAGCAATTATTGATGAACATTGGTTCTTGGCAATGCAAGAAGAACTAAATCAATTTGAAAGAAATCAAGTTTGGGAACTTGTGCCAAAACCAAATGATTATCCAATAATTGGAACCAAATGGGTCTTCAGGAATAAGCTTGACGAAAATGGCATAATTACTAGAAATAAAGCTAGACTTGTTGCTAAAGGTTATAATCAAGAGGAAGGTATTGATTATGATGAAACTTATGCTCCCGTTGCTAAATTAGAAGCTATTAGATTATTACTTGCATTTGCATGTTGATGGAACGTAAATTTGTTCCCATCTAAGCCCATTTTGATGGCAAAATACCTTACGTTCCCTCATCTGATGAGCAACTTCAGCATGAAAATCACTTGTTTTACACATTTGTGACAAAAACACAGTGGGGGAACGTATGGTGATGTATTCCTTTAAAATATATTAAAAGGGGAACAGACTGAGAAGCATTTAATGCACCCGCTCCACTCATTTAATGTCTCTTTCCCTTTTGCAGGAAACATGGAAACGAAGTCTTCTAAAAGCAGAGGCGATGAACCATTAAGCACCAGGAAACGTGAAGAGCAGAGAATCAAGAGTTCTCATTGGCCCAGAAGAAAGCAAGGTATGGGAGGACTGCACAAAACGGATAATCATCAACAAATACTGCCCCATCAAGTATAACACCTCACATTTTTAAGTTTAAATATTAAGATGTTAATCAAAGAAAAAATAAAAATAAAAGAAGTGAGGTGCTTGTCGTGCTTAATCCTTGTCGTGCTTGGGAATCATTGTCATGCTTAAACATATGACCACTTATAGCTTTCCTTCTTTCTTCCTACGGCCAAGGAAACATAAAACAATCAAAGGAATTAAATAAGCAGAGAAATCAAGTGGCTTGGCGGTGGAACAAAGGCAAATGAAAAAGGGAAATTAATAGTCTATTGAACCAAAGAAGGTGAGATGCAAGTCGGTTTCTTGTGGGTGATGTCCGTTGGCTTTCCTTCCTTGGAAGGTAAGTGGATTAAATCAAAAAAGAAAAGAAAAGAAAGGAAGCAACTCCAAGCGGTGGAATTAATAAACCAAAGGTGCAGCCTTGTCATGCTTACAAGTTGGAAAATTAAGCAAGAAGTGGTGTCAAGGAGAATTCTGACTGTTAAGAAATCCAAGTCGGTTCCTTGCTTGTCTCAAAACACCAAGTCGGTCCTTTTCTTCCCATTCAAAGCACATGACCGCCCTAGCTTCTCCTTTCCTTTCCTTTCACACGGCCTAGAGAAATTCAATTTGTTTTAAGACATCAATCGGTCCTCACTTGGTTCAAAGCATAGCACATGACCGTGTGATTCTAGTCGGTTGGTTTTTTTTGTTTGATGTTAAGCAGCTCAATTTCCACTTCCAACCGAAGGAGACATTAAGTAGCTCAATTCTTCTTCTAAAACCGTAGCAACCCAAGGGTGTGAAGAGGAGCTTGTGAGTATTTTCTTGTCCCTAAAATGCTTAGTTACTTTGAGAGTATTTGAGTGATTGGTTTATCTGCTGTAATTCATTTAGTGAGGGATGTTTGGAGCTGTTTTGGGGTTGGCTGGCAGCTTTGCTCGTCCAACTTCATACGACGATATCCGGAGCAAACGAGATCGAAATATCTCGTGTGATGGTTCATTAGAAAGGTAATTAAGTCCCGTAAAAGATACTAAAGATGAGACGAACTCGAAGACAACTGTGACGATATAAATAAATATACCGAATCATGTTCGGATAGGCAGAAAACGTAAAATTGAGAAATTAACTAAGTGGGTTTAGGGGAACCCCTTAGTGGCTTTTAACAAGTAAAATAAGTTAGAAGAATAGTTTAAATAAGTATTCCGCAAAGAGTTTACTGTTACAGTCACAATTTTAATTATTACGCTTTTTATGGTTTTAAATGCTCGCATAATAATCGGAAAAAGTTTATTCGCATTTTTATCAATGAATTGCTGTGATTGTAACTGCGCTTAATATCATAATTAATGTTAACAATATCGGTGTACAACAGGCTGTTACATTTTATGGTATCAGAGCAGTTTTGTTAGGGAACTCTGATAATGCATAACTGTATTTTGTGTTGCATAGCTATCTGTGAACTGTTTATGATTACTGCATATGTGATTCCTCAGTGTGGGTCTAATCAATTCATTCCTTTGACTCATTCCTTTGTGTTACATGTACAGATATCATGAGTAGGGCACGAGGTCGCCGTGGAACCCGAGGTACAGGTCGTCTAGTAGCACCAGATCCTATTACTGCAGTTTTGAATGCTCTGTAGGAAGAGACTGCTGCGAATAGAAATATGACCGAGACCCTGATGAAAAATAATCAGGATATGATGCATGCCTTTCTGAATGAGATAAGGGCAGAGAGGGCTCGTAACAGGAGGGATGATTCTCTTCCACATACGGCTACAGAGACTCATACCCGTACGTCATCTGTTACACCTCAGCAGGAGGGGAGTGGGGCTAATCGTCATTTTGGGGAGGCTAGTCGTCACACTACTGATCCTACTTATATCCCAGAGCCTTCTGTGGATCCTTCTGTGGTTGCTCAGTCTGCTAGAGTTGCTGGGCAAGTATTTGTTGGTAGTGACGAGCAAAGGCTCATTTCTTTCAGAAAGCATAAACCGCCAGCATTTCAGGGGTTAAGGGACCCGAAGGTAGTGACTACTTGGTTGATGGGTATGAAGAAGATATTTCAGGTTATGGGGTGTCAGGATCCCCAGAGATTTTTGTATTCTGTTTATATTCTCGAGGGAGATGCCCACGAGTGGTGGTATACTACACTCATCCTTTTGTTATTCAGGGGAAAGAAATTACCTGGGCTTTATTTGAAAGATTATTTCATGAAGAGTACTTCCCAGGGATGTTCGGGAAGCTAAACAAGGTGAGTTTGAGAAATTGGTACAAGGTACCATGGCTGTTGATGCCTATGTGGCGAAGTTCAATGAGCTAGTGAAATTTGCTAATTATGAGGGTGTGCTGCCGACTCCTGAGTTTCTGTCTGCTAAGTTTCAGAGAGGTTTGAATGAGAAGATTGCAAAAAGAATGTCTAATACTGCTGTGAGGAATTTTGCAGATCTTGTGACCCAGTGCAAACGGGTTAAAAGTGTTTATAATAGATATCCGAAGTCTGGTTCTTTGAGGACATCCGGTCCTCCAGGTAATAGTAACAAGGGTGGCTACCATCAGAATAATAATAGAGGTAGGGGGTTGCAGGTGAGGCAGTCTCCGGGTCAGTTTAAGAGGGGTGGTGGTCAGAGAAGTGGGTTCAATGGCAGGAATTCTAATCCTAGATGTGACAAGTGTAAGAGGTTTCATCAGGGCCCTTGTACTGCAGCTCCAAATTCTTGTTTTAAATGTGGTAAGGTTGGGCATTATGCAAACAATTGTTACAGTAATACTGGGCAGGTTGCGAATCTGCAGGCCTTGCCATCTGCTCCTACGGTTGGGCGTGTTTATACTACAAATGTGCAGCAAACAGAGAAAGCGCCTAATCTGGTTAAAGGTACAATTTTTATCTCGAATATTGATTTGTCTGTATTATTTGATTCGGGAGCTACACATTCGTTCGTGGCTGAATATGTTGCAAAAGGATTGGGGCTAAGAGTATCACAGATGATCCCTCCTATGCGTATTACTACGGCTACAGGAGAGGTTAGTGATTCCTCCTTCATTTGTAAAGAAGTCGGGTTTATCTACGAAGGCAGGGGCTACACTATTGATTTGATTATCTTGCCCCTGGCCTCTGTTAATTTGATATTGGGCATGGATTGGTTGTCGCAAAACTGCGCAATGATTGATTGCTGCGGCAAGAGATTAATATTATGTAACATCCCGTCTAACTAGAACCTTATTTAAAGTACGATTAGGAACGTGTAGGACATTTATTTCAAAATGATGCTCTTGTATAGGCTAGGATGGAATTGAATTAGATTATGGAACCAATTCATGTTCCAATGGAAAATAAATATTTAATTTTAAAAATGAGACATTTTGTAACATCCCACTAAATTAGGAAAATATGTGTATATACATATATTGCCATGAGGAATATGGATACATGTGGAATTTGACTTATGTGTTGATACATGGATGGTTTGCGGATTATATAGCTACTTTCTCCAAGAAAGGAATTAATTCAAGTTAGGGAATTATTTGAATCACCATGGTAAGTGAGTAATTATTTTAGCCCTGTGAAATTTTAGTTAAGAGGTGAAGGAATAAATTAATGATAACATATAGCAAAAATTAAAAAAAAATACTTAAAAAATTTGGGAACTTATAATTTTATGAGCTAATACATAAATTAGTAACACCATTGGGCTTATAATTTTTGGCTTCTTTTTATGTGATTGCCGAATGGCCAAGGGCCTTAAGGAACATTTTAGGTTCAGCCCAATATTTTTATCTATCCTAACCTCATCTTAAGAATCTCACAAGGCAACTCCTAATTGGTTAGTGATCTCCACATGGCCAAAACCCATCCTTATTTCCTCTAAATGTACGCCTAGGATGTGTAGGAAAATTCTGATTGGTTGGCTACCTTATCACAACCAAATCAGCCAATGCATGATTATTGTGTGTACAAAGTCTCTTCCACCCTTTGCATGCACGACACCTTGGCTCAAGGAGGACACTTGGAAGCTCCCTTTTCATGCATAGGCCAAGGCCCCTTTTTGTGACCCACAACTCATCCTCTAAGGCTAGATAACTTATCCACCCTCCATCAGCCTTCAAACTTTCACACTTCCTCTCCTTGGGCGCTGAATGAGTGAGCAGCAAGCAAAATGTTTATCTCATTGAATCAGAAACAAACTTGACTCGTTCCATTTCTTTCCCACCTCTCTTGACCATGAGAAACATTAGAGAGAAACATAAAACTCCATCTCATCCGCACCTCCCACACAAAGACCGTGACATATTAAAGGAGGGGACCAAAGCTTGCATGTTCCTTCTCACATCTCCTCCACAGGACGTGAACTCCATAGGAAAGAAAAATAGCAAGACACTTGAGCATATCTTCTCTCCTCTAATCTTACTTAACCGTGCAACAACAAGCAAGAAGTTTTGGAGCTTAAGCTACATTCCTTCCTCTCCTCCCCAATTCAGTCGAAGGTCCATTAGTAAAGAGGATTGAACTCTAGAACATCCTTCTTTCCCTTGGTGCGCACAACCATCGTTGAAGAGCTGAGTGTGCTGTTCCATTCGATTTCCTAGTGAACTCACAAGAGGTAGGCACCAAAACATTCTATTCTTTCCTCTGATCAAATTGTAAGGCATACTTAGGAAATAACCCTCTTAGTTATTTTATATTCTTTGATTCTGCCATGCTATGCTCTTGGACCATAATTGAAAGCATAAAAAAAAAAGCTTTGAAATGATCTCTTGATGAACTTTGGGGGCTGTTTGATTATAGGTTAGTGCATCAAATATTCTTGGTAAATCAAAATAATAAAACAGCATGCCTAAAACCCTCTGTTTTAACGCACCTATTAAGGATTAGTGAGCTTTAGAATATATTGTCATTAACATTTTTGGACCGATTCTGTTTGGTAATTTTGGGGGTATGCTAAGTCTGGTTTTAAACTAATTAGACAGCATGATAAATAGGTTTCCCTTCACGCACCCTTGGCTTTGTTTAGCTGAAATTTTGAATTAATGTCTTGAGCTTTAGTATGATTAAACCGATTCTGTTTTAGTGAGCTTGGTTGTGTTTTAAGTTTTTTTTTTAACTAGATGGACAACCTGTTTATAGGTATCTATAGCACACCCATGGTTTAATAGGGATGATTATGTGACAAAAATATAAATAGATCATGAGCACTTTTTAGTCTAAGAAACCAAATCTGAATTTAATGGGGGTTTAGGAATATATTTCAGTATCAACCTTACATGAATTAAATAAATTTAATAGCATGTTTTATGCCTCTTGAGCACATCCTTGTCCTTGTAGGTAATGGCTGTGTAATTAATTAAATGACAAATATATAATGTCAACCTAAACCGAACCTATATAGGATGTGGGTGCTAGGATTTTCACTGATTAATGTAGGATGGGGCTGCTGTATTTTATAAAAATTAAAGTTAGGAATTTTCCATAGGAGAAGCATGAAAATCGATTCTGCCATATTGGAAATATTAAAAGAATTTCTCATTGATAAAAATTTATAAAGGTTAAATGAGATTCAAAAATAATTTTAGAAAAAGAACCCTTATGGCCGAGTGGTATAAGGACATGTAGGCTTGAGGTCTTGTTGCTAATTATTGAAATAAAGTGAAACGTATGCTGATTTATTATGCCTCTAAATTAGGTGCACAACATTCTTGAAACGTTGGGCTTATGCACTATTGTTTGGATAATTGTGGAATGCTTGATTTAAATAGCTAAAGTGCCAAGGTATGTGTAGGCGATATTACCTAATGTGACTATTGGCTAGTGTATGGAATTGTGATGTGTTGCTCACATTTGTTCTATGTATGTTATGATGATGATGAGCCAATGGTAAGAATATGAAAGGATGATATGATATATGCATGCATTTTACATCATAATACATTTTTCTGTTGGGTGTGATTGCATAACATGGCATGTATACGTGATTCATGACATCTTGAATATATATATATTTGTATTGAGGACATGTGACTGAGCATGCATCATATAGGCATGCCTGGTACCAGGAGAGGGGACACTTGGCTTCAGTCCGCATAGGTTCCACAGTGGGATTCACCTTCATGGGAGCCATTAGGAATACCCACTGTGATGCTACGCGCACGACGGTGCTATGAGCGTAAAGGAAAAAGGGCGTTATATACGCGTTATGATATATGATGAAAAGGACTAAATGTTTGAAGTGACTATTTATGATTTTGTGCCTAGTTAATATTGTTGCATTATGGTTTTGTTGCCACACTACTGGGATTTTCTCTCACCCCTTTGGGGCTGCTATTTTTACAAAATGGCAGGAGGACGTAAAAGCTTTTGAGGACTTGGATATTTGCTGTTGGCTTTTACTGTTTGGGCATGCTGCTATTGATGTGATATTTTATGGATGACTGTATGAAATTGAGAAGCTTTTATTATTGTGAACTATGATTTTATTATTGCATTACGATTTTATGACCAGCAAGTATTTTGGAAACAGATGTTGAAACGTTTGCGAAAAGGATTTTGACATGTTATCTAAATGCTGAGTTTTGAAAAGTCTTTGCGAGCACTTTGTAAGTTGTCGTACTGGGGCTACGGACCTCCGATTTTCTTATAATTTATATGCACGCGTAGCCCCAGGTGTCTAGTTTCATTATATACAAACCTTGCAATGAAATTCTGAAAGATCGATTTATTATGAATTTTACCAGCCAGGACATTTGTGATATTTCCACTATTTTCTCTCTTATTTTGCGAGTTATGTTTCGAGGGGAAAACGAACTCCAAATCACTATTATTTTATATGACCGTGAAGTCCCAGATGTCTAGTTTCCAGATTACAAAGAATATATTTTTGAATCGTTGAACTGGATTTTATACGAATTTTTAAAGACAGCAAGGTCTATCAGCAAATTTATATTTTTAATAAGTTTAAGGAATTTTGTGTACTCTGATTTTTGTAATTAACCAGATCCCCGCTTTAGTTTTAATTGGCAATGTAAAAGCGATATTTTTTTTTCAGTCTCTAAAATACTATTAAAGAACTCTAATTCCGCTTAGCAAACAACTCTCTTGGAGGCCTACAAGAGAGGGTGTTACATATTATCTCATGAGTAGCCCTCGGTTACTCCGTCTCCATTTCTGTCTATGTGTCAAGCTGTTAAAGCCTTGAGGGCTGGGGATCAGGGTTATATTTTCTTGGGTGGATTGGTGGGTGGTAAGGAGATTGAGATTTCTAGTATTTCGGTGGTTAATGAGTTTGTGGATGTATTCCCTGATGAGATACCAGAATTTCCACCTGAGAGAGAGATTGAGTTCTCAATTGAGTTGTTGCCTGGTGTGGGGCCCATTTCTTTGGCTCCATACCGGATGTCTCCGCTGGAGTTGGCTAAGTTGAAGAAACATATTGAGGAGCTGTCTGCAAAGGATTTTATAAGACCAAGTGTGTCTCCTTGGGGAGCACCAGTAATATTTGTGAAAAATAAGGATGGAAGCATGAGACTGTGTACTGACTACCGACAATTGAATAAAGTTACGATTAAGAACAGGTACCCATTGCCGCGTATTGATGATTTGTTGGATCAGTTGAGGGGTGCCTGTGTGTTTTCTAAGATTGATCTCCGGTCCGGATACCATCAGATTCGGATTATGCCGGAGGATGTGCCTAAAATGGCATTCCGTTCTAGATACGGACACTATGAGTATCAAGTGATTCCTTTTGGGCTTACTAATGCCTCGACAGTGTTCATGGATTATATGA